GTGATAAAATTCTCAGAATTAGAATAAAACAAAACCGATAACAATGCTTTTTTCCGTAGCATTGTGTGGCAGTATAACAAAATAAGTTGTCCCATATTCAGCCACAAATTTCCAGTTAAAATATTTTTCATTTTAGCGGAAATGTCCGGTCAGAGTGTCCAACCAGGCTAAGCTTTTACCTGTCAAAACCTCAAATTTACCAGACAATTGTCCAATGACCGACTGTTATTTGCAGGCTTGCCTCACTGAAATGTTGTTTGACTTGAAATCACCCCAAAAAGGTGTGAAATTAGGTGCAGAAAACCCACCCTGGATATGAAAATTTCCTAACTAAGGGTAAGATTTGAAATTTACACACCCTGCAAGGATGAATCTGCCAAAAAAACACCCCACCGTAGAAATTGTCACTGAATTTTACATACTGAAAGAGCTTTTGGGGGTGAAAGCTGACTGTGACCAACCCTTGAAGGATGAAATTTCTAAGAAAAACCACTCTTGGTATCGAAATGGGGGTGAAACGAGAAGATTAAACAGCTTTATGCCTCAACGTTAGGGTTAGGGTTAGGGAGGATCCTTGGCTGGGATCAATTTCCTCACCCCAAAAGTCCAGAGGTTGAAATCTAACTTACACAAGATGTGAGGATATCATTTGGTAACTTGGTCAAAACAGGTTAAACCTTACCAGCAGTAGGTAGCTTTGGCTTGACTCTGTAACCAAATGCGGCCGATAATCCTTTATGTACGACAACAAAAGTCGACAGAGCTCGTCTTCGGGCTGAAAAAGATCAGTGGCATTGACCTCAATGTCTGGTCAATCATCAAACTAAATGATAAGTCAATACTTTTGGGTGCAGAACAGCCTTTGTACAAATTTCTAACAATTAAAGATTGGAATAAATGGCCAAACTAACCAGCTTGAAAATGGAATCAACATCAACAGATATAAACAAATGTTTATGGATGGAGTTTTACATCCATGTCAATCAGTAGAAATTTTAGGTAAATCATCTCAGATCACCATTAGTTGTGCAGAATCACAAAACTGGCTACCCTTTTATGATGAGATCAATGTATTGTAAATAAATTATGCTTATGCCACAAATGCTTAAATGGGCAATGCCCAGAGTACTTTGGAGATAAATTAGTGCGTATCAGCAACATGTCAACCAGAATCTCACACTATGGTGATATAACTATACGCTGTTCTAGAAATAAACGTGACACAGAAGGTGGAAAAACTCTTCTTGTTACAGCTGCAAAACTTTGGAACTCTCTACCTATTACTATAAGATCTGGCACCAGTATTAATGCCTGCAAACAGAATTCTTGTAAGGATGGTTATGCTGGCTTGGATAGCTTTCCCATTTCATAAATGTTTTATCCTTTTAATATTACATTTACTGTCTTTGCCCTTTTCAATATTATTTTGTAAATTAGCTCTATCTATTTAAGGGGAGGGCCAGAAGTTTACCAGTCGTCAACTGTAATGTGTCACCCTCGGTAAACAAACTTATTTATTTATTTACTTAATTTACTGGAACCAGAGAGGAAATTGTCTAACCTGTAGAGACAGCTCATCTCGTCCAGAAAACTTTCTGGTCTTGTAATTGTTAAAGTGGAGGATAATAGCCCCACTATCCTTGACAAGCAGGTAATTCTTCCCAGCTGAGGTCTTTGGGTCGAAGTTCCTGGCCTCTTCCCCTGACAGCACTTCCAGGGTCCTGATTTCCAGCCCCCGTGACGGGGGAATGAACACATACAGGGATAGCATAATGAGATCGCAAAATTCCTTGGCTTTGAACTTCATTGGACCAGTCAATTCAAACTTTTCTCGCTGGGTGCTAACAGCAGAAACCACTTCCTCCCTTTTTTTAAAGACAAAACCAAAAACAAAAAAAGGAAAGAGGTTCACACAGGTTTGGCTGTCCAGGACAAAGGGAAAGGGAACAATTCAGGATAAAAGTACTGCAGCCAAGAGAGATCTATCTTGCTAACCGCAAACAAACAATGGTTAGTCAGTTTACTTTCAAGTGCCAATTCCTCCTGAAGCTCTAAGCTAGCCTCAAACTAGTATCCGTAATCATGTGATTGCTAACTAACACAATTGATTCTTAACAATCTGTAGTCTACATCTAGTTATGCGAGAGCTTCACTCTTTTTTAGCCAATCAGAACCAAGTCATTTTTCCAGGTATAATATTGTTGGTACTAATCGCAGTCTCTCCTGTCACAGAGTGAACAAAAAACAGTTTCCATGCCAAGACTTACCAAGGGATCCAGCGATTTTGGGCAGAAAGATCTTCCATTGTGGACGGCCTTTCCAAGTCACCTTCTTTCTGGAGAATTCGAGCTTGAACTCTCAGCTGACGGATAATGGGGACCCCTTTGAAATCAGGAGCATGCTCTCTGTGCACAAATTTGATTGGGTAGAGAAGTGAGCTGATGTGATTTGAAACCGTCGCAGAGCTGCAATTTCGTTCTTCCTGTGAGGAAACAGAACAGGTTAATTGAGGCTCGGAACAGCCAAAAATCAATAAGTAAATAAATAGATGTAAACGAAAGAAAAGGAAAAGAAAAGAATCAACATGTAGCAGAAATTCATCAGAGGCAAGAGTCTCTGGGTTAAAGTTTTCAAGCTCGAAAGGAAAAATTTCACCTACCAAGCAGTAAATCAGTGATATTAAAATTTTCCAATTTGTTGGGAATTTCTTTCTTTCAGAAAAAGTATGGAATAATACTACTACTAATAATAACAACTATTATTGACTTCTTAACGTATAGAGTCAGCTTATTAGCAGCTAGCTATTTATAATTTCTCTTTAATTCGATAAAGACAACGTCCAAAACAGATTTAAGG